ACTGTTTTTGTATTAAGCGGCAACAAATTCCACGCTTTAAATTGTTTTCTTGTTTTGCGCTTTTGTTGTTTTTGTTGCAGCTTTCAACTTTTTATATTTCGATTCATTTGTTTCAAGTTCTAATTTATCTCTTGCTGTGCGAGTGTATGTGTGTGTGTTAGTCTTGGGTGTGTTTGGGCTTAGCCTGATCGTGCCGTGTGTGGCGGCCACACCTAATAAACAAATGTCGCGTTCGACTAAGCGTACATTGTGCGAATGTATCTTTTAGTTGAATTGCGAAACGGGCGCATGCCCTTGCCATGACGCAGATAGTCGAATGTATCTGTATCTGTATCCGTGCGTTTGTATCTGTAGCTGTGCTTTTGTATCTGTGTAACTGGTGCAGCTGGTTGTGGCACGTTTCGTAATCAACATTTATTGGACATTATAACGGCATTTCTTTACCTTTTTTTTGTTGTTGTTGTTGTTGTCGGCCTGCCCTTTTGTAATTACGACACGTATTATGCGTAATATTCACGGCATCAACTGCCAAATGGAGCCAAAGGAAAGTACACAAAAAAAAAACAGGATTCACAACAAAAGGGCAACTGATTGTTGTTGTTGTTGTTGTTGCTGTTGTTGCTGTGATTGCATATACATTTAACGCTTGTGGCCTGCAACTTTTGGGTGGGTGCTGCTGTTGGTACAGTTGTTGCTGTCGCTGGCAAGAAAGTGCGTGGGAATTTGTTGCACGTTGCGTTGACGTCTCTTTGTGCGCCCCATCAATGTTATTTCCCAGACGTGCCACACTGTTGCTTGCCCCCTTTTATTTTCTTCTTTTTTTTTATTTTCTTCCCGTTGCAATCAACCCGCAGCTAATCCCACATAAAATAATAGTCCAAGAGGCGGGGAAAAAGAGGGGGCACTGACTGAACAGGGAAGTTGCGGCATTTTCCAACAGCAACAGACACAATATTATGCACACCACACACACACACAGGGACACTCACACACACACACTGCACCAATCCATCTGAGGCTCAGCTGAAGTCAGCGCTGCGACAATTTTAATTGCTGTTGTTGTTGTTGCTGCTGCTGCGCTCTATGGCATTGCAATATGGTTTTCTTTGCGGCTTGGAAAACCTCATCATAAGCATTTTTGTCGCATATGTGAAAAACCAGATGTTGTTGCTGTGAGAAAATTTTTCCTATTTCGCAGCCACAGTGGCAGGGGCAGGGGCAGGCCGCGTGTGAAGCGACGACAATTGAAGGGAAAGTATGCAGCGGCAGCCCAACGCATCAATTTCATTTATTTGCCACTTGTGGCAGCAACAGCAAACAGCAACAACAACCGCCACGAAAACTGTACTCAATTATTCAATTGAGCCAATATACAGAGAGAGAGAGAGAGAGAGAGAGATGGGGGATTGTCGCAATCTGAAGTTGTTGCTGCTTTAGTTTTTATCCTACGGAAATGCACAATTCGAGCTAGCTGCATATGCAGATGAAGTTGCAGCAGCAACAGTTGTCGCTGCAGTTGCACATCCGGCGGAAAGCAAATGTTGCCGCTGCTGCTGCTGCTGCTGTACGGCAAATCGCTTGCTCTACATTTCAATTAGAGTCGCCCACACGACAATTGGCGTCAATTTGCCAGACGTGTATAGCTACAAGATACATTTTGTGCCTTGTCAGGCATAACGCCAGCGACATCGTCGCCAGTCGCCAGTTGCCGTCGTCGTATCTGACAAATGCGTTTCAATTGTCGCCGCTGTTTTCAATTGTTCAGTGAGCAAAACGTGTAAACGCTTTTGTGTATCTGCAAGATACACAAAAAATACAAAAAACTGAACGGCCACGGCACGCAGCGGGCGCTCATAAATCTCTGACTCATGCTTGCAACAGCGAATGCGAATGCAACTGCAGCAGCAGCAGCAACTGCAGCAGCAACTGTTGTTGTTGTTGTTAATGAGCTGAGCTGTTGTTGTTTGATTTAAGTGGCCGCTTAATGTAAATATCTTGTTGTTGTTGAGCCCCTGACGCGGCACATTGATTTGTATCAATCCGCAAATAATGTATATGTAAGATACATTCGACGCCTGACAGCTGACTTATTGCTAATTGCAAAGCCAGACAACAGAGAAAACAGAAAACACAACGAAACCAAATCAGTTCGTCATCCTTTTCTTTTCGTTATTTTATTTTATTTTTTTGTGGCACTCTCTTTCAAGCGATCGCTTATCTGGCGCGCCGCCGCTGCCGCCTTTGCTCGGCTGCCTGTCAAAATACTTTTAACGCAGACTGTGCCGGGCCAACTGATCAGCCAGTCTGACTCCGATTTTGACTGCGACTCCGACTCACTCTTAATGCGAAATCTATTAAGACTGCCTGCATTGGCGGCTCGCGAAGTGCCCCGTCAATCATTTTTTATTATGGCTCCAGACATAAACTCATTTTGACTGCAGTCCACAAAGACGACGACGACGACGCCAACGCCCCGGCAACAGCTGCTGCTCTCAAAATCAGCCCACATCAGCAACATCAGCAGCAACATCAGCAGCCGCAGCTCAAGTAATTGGAAAACTGCCATGAAAAATAAACTAACTTGAGCAGCAAAAAAAAAAGTTTTGCACTCGTTTTGCGTCTCGTTTTTCGCGGCCACACACACACTACACACACACACACACAAGGCACAGCTCCTTCAGCTGCTGCTGCAATGCGATGCCAGATAAACAGACGAAACCCAAAAGCCAAACAAACAAAACGCTGCAGCATTTGAGCCACCAACGTTGTTTGTTGGCCAGCTGCAGCGATCGTTTGAACCCCCCCCCCCCCCCCCCCCCCCCCCCCCCTCGCCATCTGCCACACCACTCCACACTCCCCACTCCACTAAACGCAACGATTGAACGCTTCGATATGCCGAAACGAAATGAAAACATTTTCATTTTCATAAAATGCCAAATAGAAGCCAAAAAGCATAGAGAGGAACGCGTTAATTAAACGACGGCAAACACATAAAATGCCAGCTAGATTTCAATTTGGTCAATGCAAGGAAAGAAAGACAGAGAGAGATGGAGAGCGGGAGAGAGAGAGAGAAGAGCAGTGACAAAAGGCAGTTAGGAGGCTGGTAAGGAAGAGGCTACACTCAGAGAAAAATCAACTGAAGAGATCAGGCACAAACATTAAACAAAATGCAGCCAAACTTGAAGTTTCTTAAACTGAGTACAAAATTCTTAATTTAAGAAACTCTTTGAGACCTAAAGAGAAATATTAAAGCTAGGAAATGTTGTATTTGCGGCTTCTTCTCTGTTTAAAGTGTACTAAATCTCTTCAAAAATATTTTTTTAACTCAATTCAAGATTTATTTTTATATATTTAAAAAATTTTGAAACCAAGCTCAATTCAAGCATATTGATATCTACTTGAAATCAAATTCGTTGTACACTAGAATTTGATGCAGAGTTTTTCTTAGAGTGTACGCATATTGTGGCACGCATAATTAAGTGAAATTAAAAGCGCATATTTATGCGACACGAAGCGACTAAAGAGGCAACGACAACAACAGCAACAACAACAACTTGGCTGCCGTTTCGCACAGGTATCGCATGTGGCAACAACAACAACAACAACAACAACAACATGCAATTTATGAATGCCACAACTGCGATTAGCTTAGCTGCCTCTGCGCTTAGAAAAGTGAAGACACAAACCATGCCCTGACCCCTTACCGCTGCCCCCTAAGCCACCCCCTCTCGCCACACTCGCAGCTTATGCAATAAATATTATATTAAATTACCCAACAGACGCCAACAAACGCTTCGATTTTATTGAATACTTATGAACTCCTCACCATATCGAATGGCCAGACAGAGCGAGAGAGAGAGAGAGAGTGAGAGGGGGGCGGGGGGGGGGGAGGGTGAGTTTATAGGGAGGCTGCCCAGCCACGACTTGAGTTCCATTCATTCCGCTGGCAAAATGTTTATAGATGTGGCAACAGATTTTATGTTGTCGAATCAGGGCAGCTTTAAGATGTGCCAGAAAGGAAAACAAGTACCATAATAGATATTGGTCGAGCTCTTAACTCAACAGTTAAATGTGTGGTGTTATGAATAAAAGAAAGGAATTAGATATACAACTTTGAGGTTATAGAAACAATTTTAATATATATTAATGCCTAATGCACTTCTCTTAACTCTTAGTTAAATAAATGATGTTGATTTCTTTGAACCAAATTGTGGTAAACTTTTAACTTGAGATACACTTTATCAGAGATACTTTCATGAATATCTGCGAATATGCCTAAAAATGTTCTTAGATAGATAACTTTTCAGATCGGGCTACTTTCAAATCGGGCTAATCAAAGAGTTTTAAATATCTTGTACACTTACCCGTAGACCCATTCGTTGGGTATTCCTGCTGAGGCATTCAGGCCTAAAGATGTTTGCTGAAAATAAAAAAAATATCTAAAATAAATATATATATTTATACACAATAAAGACAACAAATGATATATATATACATAGATATTCCTCTTTGCTCTTCTGAATGTTCTCAAGCAGCTCGTAACTTATGATATATGATAATCGTCCCTCCCCCCAACTGCTTCGCCCCCTTGGCTTAGCGCCCAATAAAAGCTACTTATGTCCGAATCACTTAAGTTGATAGCCGAAACCCGTTGCAAAGTTGAGTTATTAAAGGAAATTTCGAATGCTTGCAGTCGATTTCTCCAGAAGCTTGGCAAACCCGATGACCTATTCATGTTACCCCCATTTGTTGTCCAAGTTTGAGTTCGAGTTCGAGCTGGAGGGGAAGCCGTCCGTTCGATAGCCTCGGTTGCATTTTAATGGCATCATTAGGCCGAACGCGCCGGCTACCGGATATGGTTGATCGTTTGTCACTGCGGCTAATCCCCAGCTGCAGCAGTGTTTGTGGACAGCCGAAGGGGATCAAGAACCGACTACCGGTAATTACAATTTAAATTAGTGCACTTTTTTTTATATGCCTACAGAGAAAACAGGCTCAGGTCGTCGAGAGAGTTGGCACTTTTATTAAACGTAACGATTTTGAGTGAACGTAAACAGTGTAAGAGGGGGGGGAAAGCAATCGAGTGTCGCGTGTATCTAGCTGGAATAGACAGAGTTGCGAACTCCGTAGATGGTGTCATTGGCCTCGGGCAGTTTGCATACCTTGCCGTTGTTGGTGCGATTCAGACGCTGGGCAATCACATTCAGATCCAAATTCTGGACACGCACCATCAGCGTGGGCTCCTTGTCCATGGTGCGATAGACGAACGTCTTCTGACAGCTGGCGGGACTGATGTTACTCTTTTTGCTGCCAGCGGCATCGGGCAGAGGTCCGATGGTGAGCGGACCGACATCGACGCCGATGCGCTGATTGCCGCAGGAGATGCAACGGATGCCCGTGTTGATGAAGCCGGCGGCACGCGGGCACGAGTCCTTGTCCTCGATTTTGGACAGGCGCTGATCGATATTGTCGAAACGATCGCGTATGTATTTCTTGAGCGCCGGCATATGCACTTTGTCCAGCTTGCTGTCCAGCATATCCTGCAGCTCCTCCATGGTGCCAATGAAGGTCAGATTGTATTCCTTGACCAGTTCGCGCAGATTCTCAATCTCGATGACGCACTGTTTGACCAGTTCGAGCCGTTCGAAAAGCTCCTCGGTTTTGCGCAAAAACTCCCGCAGAGTTTCGTAGAATTTGTTAAGATCCTTTTGAATTTGTTCGACCATATCGAGCATGGGCGAGGCGATGCGTCGCAGCAGCTTCTTCATGAAGTCCATATTCTGGAGCAGGCTGCACGCAATCTTGTTGTCCTCATCGCAAACGGTGCACAGATCCTCGCACGGCGATGCATACTGTTCCCACAACTGTTTGTGATACTTCTTCGAGTTGACCTTGTTGCAGACGCGTATCTGCTGGAAATGCGCATTCATTTTCTTTTCGAGCATGGCCAGACGCCCCTCCATGGCCTCCACCTTGTCCAGCTCCGTTGAGATGGGCACAATTGTGGCCACATCGAAGGGCAACGGCGAGATCTTTGAACGTTCCAGCAAACGCTCCAAGCACTTGCCCTCAAAGCCCCCAATTGTGACCAGATCCTGCTGGCAGGCCAGCTTCTTCATTAGCGCATCCAGCAGGCTGTGCAGCACGGCCACATTCACATTATTCATCTCCGGCACGCCCAGCGCGATGCGTGCCAATTGCTCCAGCGTCAGCTCCATTTTCGGTTGAATTCAATTAACCAATAGGAAAATAAGTTATTTGTAAATACTTTGGGGTGAAATCTATATATTTGTATCAGATGTGTTGTTTGCTCGTCTTGAATTTTTATAACAAACTGATTTTTTTTTCTGTTCCCAACCAGATGGTTCTGTCACTTCGACGATGACAACTATGTCAATGTGCCCCGTTTGGTGAAGCTGCTGGATGAATATAGTCCCAGCGTCGACTGGTATCTGGGCAAGCCGAGCATATCCTCGCCGCTGGAGATACACTTGGATAATGTAAGTGCAAATATCTGTTATTATTAACCTTTTTTGTGTGCATACCCTGTATTGGTTGAAAGAGAGAGGTATACTAAACTTGATGTTTGGCATGCCCATGATTATCTTGTTTTCGATAGATCCTTCCATTATGACTAAGTCGGTACATAGGGAGAGAGACATATAGACATTTAGCTTCGAAGTGAGTAAGACAAGTCATTTTCAAAGTCTGCCTGTTTCGCGCTTAATACAGGGCAACAGCTGGTCGCGCATTCTCGCCTAGAGCTTACTGGTTCTCTTATTTTTTTGCATATTTTCCAATACACATAATTACATGACTCTGTGTTTATGGCCATGTCCATAGCTCTGCAATCTGTGCCTTTCTCCTGTGCGAACGGGCTGCATTATTTATGCGCCCGACTGTGGCCATTTGTCTATGCCGCCATTTGGCTTCCAGCTGCCAGCGCAGGCTATCATTAATAACCGATATGATCTGGCTCAGATGCTCCCTCTCCCTCTCCCTCTCTGTCTCTCTGATCGCGTTCCCAATTCAATCCGGCTGGCTGCTGAGGCATTTGAAATATGGCCAGCTGATCCCGCAATGAATGCTGTTGCTCTGTTGTTGCATGCCCAAATAGTTTGGGCCAGCACTTGGCTCGTAGGCTGGCCGCATGCCACACAGCGCCGCAGCGAATCGAGCATGCCGAGCCTGAACCTTGCCACAAACTAATTGAAAGCCCAAAAACTTAACGCTTCATTAGGTCACGAGGAGCCGCTGCTGCTGCTGCTGCTGCTGCTGCTGTCGAGTCTTCAGACTTTTTTGTCGGTATTCGATTTAGTTTCGGTTTTGGGTTTGGGCTTGGTTTGGGTTTTCGTATCCGTATTAAGTTTCCTCAACGCACATGTCCCATTTACATGGTCAATTAATCAGGTTTATTTTTTCGGTTTGTTTTAATTTTTGGACCAGTTTCTTAAGTTTTGAGCAACAATTTGCGCTGAGCCAGTGCCAAAATAAATGGGAACGATTGTGCACGACTAAACAATACTCTGTTCGAGGTGTAAAAGTTGCTTAAAATCAAGTGAAAAGGGTTTGGCTGAAGGGAATGGACTTTTTCGGTTAGATTTTTAGAGAAGGTCGAGCCGTAATCTAAGTCTCAAAGATAACAACGTCGAATTCGACCTGTGGGAGTTGAAGTTATTCGTAGCCTGTTCTCAACTCCAACTTTAATCCACACAGTCCAGATACTCCATCCCTTTGTTCCTCTTATAAACAGAGTATTTGGCATTATGGATTCTTATTTGTGTTCATCCTTTGCTCAGCTCATTCCATACAGCTCTTCCGTTAACTTCTCCTTCATTAACCTCCTTTTTGCAGAAGAACGCGACAACCAACAAGAAGATCACCTTTTGGTTTGCCACTGGCGGCGCTGGCTTCTGCCTGAGCCGCGCCCTGACGCTCAAAATGCTGCCCATAGCAGGTGGCGGCAAATTCATTAGCATCGGCGACAAGATACGCTTTCCGGATGATGTCACAATGGGCTTCATCATAGGTGAGTCGAGTCGTCTGGCCGAGAACACGGCCAAAATCCGATGAGCCGTAATATTAATTGTTTCCCTTCTCTGTTTTCCATTTTTGGTGTCTCTGCAGAGCATCTGCTGAAGGTGCCGCTGACTGTTGTTGATAATTTCCATTCGCATTTGGAGCCCATGGAGCTAATACGCTCGGATACGTTCCAGGATCAGGTATCCTTCAGTTATGCGCACATGAAGAATCAATGGAATGTGATCAAGGTGGATGGCTTCGATCTGAAGGCAGATCCCAAGCGTTTCTATTCGCTGCACTGTCAACTCTTTCCCTACTTTAGCTTCTGCCCGCCCAGATAGAAATCAACGTAGGATCTCCAATTTATATATATTGATATATCGGGGGTCTCTTCAGGCTCCCGTTGGCTGTTGCAGGCGTTGCGGTTCTGAACCCAATTACGGCAAACGTATGAGAAGAAATAACGGAAAAAGCAAAAACAAATCTCACCACTGTGATTTAATATTTAAGTATGCGAATATGATAAACGATAACACATAATCGATAACAGCTGATGTGAACAAATGGTTCTATTGTAAATATATATACATACATATTATATAGAATTCAACTCGAAAGTTGTGCTTCCTAGACATTCATAAGATGATCAAGAATTTGCCTTCCAGAAAAACAAAAAAAAAGTTTTTAACTATTATCGCTTAAGTTATGCAATTGTTGCAGCAATTCAACACTTTCCAAGTGCTTCCTTTTGTAGCGTTATGTGCACTCTTCCATTGAAGCTAATTAGCTTAGTTAAATTAATGGTCTAGTCTATGTTTAAGTTGATCTACCGTTTAGTTCGCAGTTACGGCACGGACCAGCGTCATCATCCAGTAGTCTGTACTCGTGTTTATTTGCATGTTAACTGGAACTGTGCAGTCCGATTTGTCGCAATCTGTCTGTGTGTGTGTATATAACAATCGAATATAATTGTAACTTATAGTTTGTAGTCTAAGAAATGTTTAAACAATTTTGTTAATTTTTAGTTTGCTTGAATAAAATCTGATCAAATAACATAAAACAAACAACGTTTTCTGGTTTTTTTTTAACAATTATGTGGATAGCTGTTAAAGCACTGTTAAGTGCAATTAACAGATCGTTGTCTTGTCTTTACAGTTCAAGGTTCTGTTAAAGTAATTCTGTATACGTCGTTTACTCTTGCAGCTCTTCATTGACTTCGTTAACAGTTCTTAAGTTAAGCTTTGAGCGCCTTTCGCAGCGCTTCTCACTGTAAGATCTCTCCGTTAGCGCCTTTCGCTGCGCTTCTCACTGCAACGTCGCTCTGTTTACTTTCTGTGCGCGCTGTTAAAATGTTTTACATATTGTTTGCGCTGCTTTAGCAACAGTTCAACACAGTTCACAAACTGTTCAGCTTAACATTAGCGCTTTTTGCTCCGCTTCTTACTGTTAAAGTAATTTGATAAGCTTCGTTGACACTTTGCACGCTGTTAAGCTTTCCACTGTTACAGTTCCTTTAACAACATATTTGGCTTAACATTTGGCGCCGTTCGCTACGCTTCTCACTGTTATAACGTGCTCGCATATGATATTCAGCGACTTTCATTGAATTTCGATGTTATATTTATTTAACTTTTTGGCTTATCGTGTTCTGTTGCTGTTGCCTACAGCAGTTGCTGTTGCCGTTGCCGTTGCTGTTGTTGCGGCTTATCAGCTGATTGTCACTTAACATTCTGTGTACTTGTTCGACCGTTGTTGTTTGTTGTTGTTGTTTGTTAGCTGTTGTTGCATTTTGCATTCCGAAAAAATTCGTTGTTAATTAACGCTAAAAGCCATGTTAAGGCCCGCTAAAGCGTTAACTTTTAACGATATGGATCAGAGAGTTACCATGGGCAGGCGAGTAGACAGGCAGACAGACATTGACATGTCCACGTCCATGTCCTGTGCAGTCAAAGTCGCACAGAAAGGCTCACAGACACACAGACAGCCAGGAGAGGCAACGTTTCGACATTGAGGGTGCCTGCAGCACTGGGCCACGACGACGACGACGTCGACGCCGTTGCCAATGACATGTTGTTGAATTTTTATAAAAGACTCACTCGACTTGAAGTTACCCTCGCTACCTCTCCGCCTCCCTCTCTCTCTCTCTCTCTCTCTCTCTCTCTGTCTGTCTCTCTCTCTGCATACCTGTCCTATCTCCCACTCTGATATGTTAAACAGTTCTGGGCAATTATTTTTTTTTTGTTTTTTCGCTCGTTCTGCGTCCTGTGATTTTTAGTTAGCTTATATGCAGATAATCAGTTTTTAGTCCATGTCGAGCCGGGCGCGCGCTTTAATCAATGAATGCTACTGCCTGGTGCCCGGATTCTGGACTTAACCTGCCCAGTTGAGGCTGCCTGCTTAGCCTCGGCTTTAGCTTGGCTGTGGCTGTAGCTGTGGCCTGTGCAATTTTTGTGTCTTGTTCGTTTTAATTGCAAGTGAAATCCTTGTCAGCCTTGTCCTGCGCCCCATCTCTTTGCTGCCTGCCTGTCTGTCTGTCTGTCTGTCTCTCTGTCTGTTCACGTCACAGCATCGATAATGAATTAATTATCATATATTAAAAGTCAGTTGGCTCTCTTCTAGATAATCTCTTTGGCCCTGGCACGCCTTTGCATATTTTATGTATATTTTTTTCCAGAATTTAATGAACTCGAGAGTTCGGGCTTGGGGTACGGCTCCGTGGATTTGAGTCTTAAGTTTTTCAGGCGCATGCATTTGATTTTCCGGGTCATTCATCAAATTTTGAAAACCACAAAAGCCTCAAAAAAACCAGTGGCAAACACACAAACACACACACGCTTGGCTCATTGGTTTTCTTTTTTTCAAACTGGCGCCGCCTACATAAAAGTAACTCAACTTTTGACTTAAAGCCCATTGAAATTGATTTAATTTGCGGTTGAGCTGTAGCCGAACGCATTCATTAGATATAAATGTAACTCTGGCGAGTTATTTATGCAAAATCATAAATTTAATTGAATTTTTGCGAGTTGTTTTAAAGGATTTGCCGGCTGTCCAAACCGAAAGATACAAAAGCAATATCTGAGCGATTGCAGCTCATTTATATGCAGAGCAGGCAGCCAGGCGCAAATTACACGAGTGCAGGCCGCAAGCTGTTTTAAGGCAAGGCAGCAGCAGCGGCAGCGTACGCAAAAGTATCTTGTAGATGCAC